AAGGGTCTAGGCCCGAAACGTCAGCCTTTCTGCTCCTATGATGCTGCTTGGCCTGCTGTGTTCATCCAGCTCTGCACCTTGTTGTTTCGGATTCTCCAGCATCTGCAGTTTCTACTATCTCAGGATTTGGAACTGATACTTAATACCAGGTCACTACTGCTTCTGAATTTGTCATCTCCTTCCACAGCTCTTTTCAACCCCAATGACTTCCATTTTCAATTCCTAATTAATAATGAAATACCTTAGTAAGTGAAATACACAGCACACCTGACTGTATCAACTACATAACTGCTCTCCCAAGAGCAGGCCAGAAGCTGGGAATACTGCGGCAAGTAACTCACCTCCTGACTCCTCAAAGCCTGTCCACCATCTACAAGGCACAAGTCAGCAGCGTGATAGAATACTATCTGTTGTATTGGGCTCCAGGGGCCAGTCACAAGCAGCTGAAGTCTGGGGTAGTCACTGCTAACAACGCTCCTTTCTGATGTTTATAAATAATCAAGTGGAGAAAAATTGAAAACCTCTGAGTCATTGCCAAACCTGACATCAAAAGTCCAAAGGAACCTGATCAAATTCTAATTAAAATATCATTTTTGGAGTGAAAGGCACGTCTAATATTTGTGTAAGTGGATAGACCATGAGAAAGTCTTAACAAGAAGAGGCATTTACATGGTGTACTGCACTCCCAAAACCACAAGGTATATCTTATTGTATAATAATAGGTACAATTAACATCAGAGTGTTAGGCATCAGGAGCCAGGTATGTCCCATCAGATCAGGATCTGATGCAAGACTAAATAAAAACCAAAAGAACTGCGGATGTTGTAAGTCAGGAACAAAAACAGAAGTTGCTAGAAAAGCTCAGCAGGTCTGGCAGCATCTGTGAAGGAAAAAACAACGTTAACGTTTCAGGTCCGGTGACCCTTCCTCAGAACTCTGATACAAGGCTAACTGTTTCTACTCCCAAGACTAGGTGGCAACAGGAGGTCGGGGGAAGCTAATGCAGCTCCAATGTTAACTCCTTCATCCCCGTTACCTTGTACAACATTCTCCAAATGCCTGGTTTGAGTGTGGCCACATTAACTCTCTGTCTGTTTGTCAGCATTCAGGGTAAGCAGTCTACTTGCTTGGTAGTCCATACACCATTTGGAAAAGCCCACTCCCTTCAATAGTGGCCCACTGTGGAGTATGTTCCACCTACATAATACCTTGCGGCAGCACACAGCTCTCATTCAACGTCATCTTCCAAAACCCGTAGCCTTGGCCAACTAGAATGAAAAGGTGCAGCACGTTCACCTGAACACAATGACCTGCAAAATCCCTTCCGAATCAGGCAGACGTTACTGGAGCTTACTGGAGCAGGCATGATGGTGGGATGCCTTTGGGTTAGGCCAAATGGCCTCTTTTGTGCTGTACCCCTTTTGATGTATCGGTGAGGGGAGTACTGAGTGAATCAAATGGGATCTCCCATACCTGACTTCTGGAACTGGGATAACGATCCCCAATTTACTCAGGGATTGGTAGGGCCAAACATGAAGATCCCACTTGCTGGAGCAATGGGATCTCAATTTGGCTCATTATTCCTGAATCGATCAGAGGAGGAGCAGCTACGTGTCTGTATTATTGTGTGTAACCTGTCCATCATAAGCATAGCATCACAAAACTTCCTGTGGTATTAAAATCGTCTTCACATCTTCCCATCAGCTCTTGAAATAGGTTTCATTGAAAGGCACAACATCACTGGCAGCAAAATAGTGACATTACAAGCCAAAGAGGACACTCTGACCATTAACCCCACCACGGTTTTAGGGGACAAGGACTCTGGTAGGTCTCTCCTTTACTCACCTGTACACCTCAGTGAATGATAGAAATCACTTTAAAACTTGTCCCATGGGGAATGTTGTCAACAATGACACTTGACAAGGGGCCGCCGTAATAAGAAACCAACTGTAACTTCCTCCACATGTTAATAATGCACCAGGGAACCCCTTGACATCATGACATCCCATCAATCAGTCTGTCCTTGGGTGGCTCAGTGGTTAGCACTGCTGCCTCACAGTGCTAGGGACCTGGGTTCAATTCCAGCCTTGGGTAAATACCTGGCTGGAGTTTGTCCATTCTCTCCCCTGTCTGCGTGGGTTTCCTCCCACAGTCCCAAGATGTGCAGGTCAGGGTGGATTGGCCATGCTACATTGTGTTCTGGTGTCTGTGGATGTGCAGGCTGGGTGGGTTAGCCATGGGAAATGCGGGGTTACAGGGATAAGGTTTGGGGGGGTGGGCTCTGAGTGGGATGATCAGAGGGTCAGTGTGGGCTGAATAGACTAATTCTGCTCCTGTATCTTATGGTCCTACAGTTACAGCGATAGAAGGGGCAGGTGTCTAAGGCTGGTGTTGAAAATTGAGATGTCGCTCAGAGCTGAAGCCAAATTTGGCCAGCAAGCACAGTGGCTGGGTTTTAGATCTTAACAGAGAAATAAGAGCCCTTTGGATCTGCTCCACTGTTCAATGAGATAATGCTTGTCCATTTGCCTGTCTGTGCTCTCTCCCCTGCCAGTAACCCTCAGCTCCATTATACCACTCTGTGTCAGCTCCTCATACCTAGTCTGGTTCATTGATCTGACTTCCTTCATTATTTTTTCTGTCCTGGAAGCTACGCTTGCCTTTCTTTCCTACAATGATATGGACTCCATCATCGGTTCAGAGCTAGTGGATGACGAAAGCAATGTGTCCAAGAGACTACAGAACAACCTGTTTCATTCAAGAGTGGTAACTGTGACAAAAGGGAACAGAGCAATGCGAAATCTGAGTGGAAATTTTAGCATTACTTTCAACAGAATTCAAAGGAAACAGGTCAGTTGTTGGAATTTTTTTTAACAGATTAACATGATTTCTGCAGATCATTATCCTGTCGCTACCAGTTGTCATCCTCACAATTCACTATTCTCCCTAGTTCACCATCATCGGCAAGTATAGAGATTTATCCTTGAACGCTCATCCTCAAATTGTTTGAGGTGGCGCAGCGGCTCAGTGGTTAGTACAGCTATCTCACATCGCCGGGGACCTGGGTTCAATACCTACCTCGGGCTACTCTCCCTGTCGAGTTTGCATGTTCTCCCCATGTCTGTGTGGGATTGCTCTGGTTTCCACCCACTGTCCAAAGATGTGCAGGTTAGGGTGGATTGGCCATGCTAAATTGCCCCCCGTGCTAAATAGTATCCAGGGATGTGCAGACTATGTGGGTTAGACATGGTAAATGCAAGGATGGGTGGGTCTGGTTGGGATGCTGTTCGGAGGGGTGATCTGTGCTCGATGGGGTGAATGGCCTGCTTGCACGCTGTAGGGATTCTGTGATTTGGATAAATCAGGAAAAAGCAAGGGTTCCCAACGGTGATCCCTCCCTGAGGAACACCACTTTCAACTCATGTTCAATCTGAGAAATGCCCATCTATACCTAGATAACACAGATAATTCAGAAATGAAGAAGGGGCCTGACCTTAAACGTCAGCTTTCCTCTCCTCTGATGCTGCCTGGCCTGCTGTGTTCCTCCAGCTCCACACTATTATCTCTGACTCCAGCATTGGCAGTTCTTTCTATACCTACCTCTGTTTTTTTTAATCTATGATATAATGGGATTTCAGCTCCTGCAATATTAATTGAGATAATCACAGTTCACAGAGTTTAGAGAGACAGATTTCATGAAATGTACACAGGAGAGCTTTTGATATCAACATGTAGGTGGTCTGACCAGCGACAGTGCAGCGGTGCATCTAATTCTGGGGAATTGAAGGTGTTGGGGGAACATTTTAGTGATAACACCCACAACATGGTACATTTTAAGTTTCTTGTGGAGAAAGACGACCTGCAAAAAAGAAATTATGGTTGAGGCTAAGGCCGATTTTATTAGAATTGTGCAGGATCTGGCCAAAGTAGACTGAGAAAAGCTACTTGAGGGTAAATCCACAACAGAAGAGTTCAAAAAGAAAATCGGAAAAGTACAGGCCCAATGTGTTCCCTCTGGGATGAAGGGAATTTCACGCCCAGAGAGTCCTGGATGTCCATGAATATTCAGGATCGGATAGAAAGGAAAAGAAAGTTGTATAACATGTACAAAGGGACAAAATCAATGAAACTCGAGAGAAATATAGAAAGTGCGGGGAGGAAATTTAAGAAAGCAATCAGGAGAGATTAATGGGATTTGTCATAGAATCCCTAAAGCGCAGGTAGAGACCATTGAGCCCATACTGACTCTCTGAACAGCATCCCACCCAGACCCACCCTTTCCTAGCATTTCCCTGCACACTACAATGCAATTTAGCATGGCCAATCCACCTAACCTGCACATCTTTGGACTCTGGGAGGAGCACCTGGAGGAAACGCAGACACGGGGAGAGTGTGCAAACTCCACATAGACAGTCGCCCAAGGGTGGAATCGAACTCGGGTCCTTGGTGCTGTGAGGCAGAAGTGCTAACCACTGAGCTGCCTGTAAAATCTTTCTTTCCTGGCTGGGAAGCAAAGAGGGGGCATGAGAAAATACTGGCAGGTAAGATTGGGAAGATTCCTAAGATATTTCACGAATATATCAAGGGGGAGAGAGTAACCAGGAAATGAATAAGGCCTATTAGGGATGAAGGGGACAATCTGTTTGTGAAGCCAAAGGACATTTATAGAGTGTTAGGTGAGTTCTTCATATCTGCCTTTACCTGGGAGAAGGAGAATGTAAGTACAGAATTCAAGAAGATGGACTGTGATGTTCTTGGGTAGTTTGATATAAAAAGCGAGGAGGTGTTGGAGGTTTTGGTAGGTGAGAGAGTGGAAAGATCACCAGATCTGGGATGAGTTCTGTCCCAGGTTGCTGTGGGAGACAAGGCAGGAAATAACAGAGGCCCCCGACCCAAACTTTTAAATTGTATCTGGCCACAGGGAAGCTGCTAGAGGACTGGAGGATGGCTAATGTGGTTTCACTTTACAAGGAGGGTGGTACAGGTAGACCAGGGAATAATAGACCGGTCAGTCTAATATCAGTGATAAGGAAACTGTTGGAGAAAATAGTGAATGAGAAAATCAATCTCCATTTCGAGAGGCCAGGTTTAATCAGGGATAGTCAGCATGGCTTTGTCAGAAGCAGGCCATGGCTAACAAATCTGGTGGAAATTTTCGAGGAGGTGACCAAGTGTTTGGATGAGGGTAGGGCAGTTGATGTGGTTTATACAGATTTCAACAAGGCCTTGCACAAGGTCTCACATGGGAAACTGTTAAAGAAGGTAAAAGCACATGGGATCCAGGATAGCTTGGCAATTTGGATCCAAAACTGGCTCCGTGACAGGAGACAGAGGCTGGTGGTAGGAGACTGTTTGTGTGACTGGAGCCCAGTGTGCAGTGGTGTACCACAGGGCTCAGTGCTGGGTCCCACATTGTTTGTGATATTTATAAATGATGTAGATGAGAATGTGATGGGATGATAAGTAAGTTTGGGGATGACACAAAGGTTAACTGGGTAGTGAGGAGGACAGTTTTAAGTTACAGAAGGATAGAAATGGATTGGTCAGAACAGCAGATCAATGGCAGATCGAATTTAACGCTGATAAATTTGAGGTGATGCACTTTGCATCAGTTGTACAGCACAGAAACAGACCCTTCACGCCAACTCGTCCATGCTGACCAGATATCCCAAACTAATCTAGGCCCATTTGCCAGCATTTGGCCCATATCCCTCTAAGCCCTTCCTATTCATGTACCTATCCAGGTGCCTTTTAAAGTTGTAATTGTACCAGGCTCCACCACTTCCTCTGGCAGCTCATTCCATACACGTACCGCGTTCTGCATGAAAAGTTGCCCCTTAAGTTCCTTTTCTATCTTTCCCCTCTCACCTTAAATCTATGCCCTCTACCCTGGAGAAAAAGACCTTGGCTATTCACGCTATCCATGCACCTCACTATTTTGTAAACCTCAGTAAGGTCACCCCCTTAAATAGCCCCAGCCTATTCAGCCTCTCCCTTTCGCTCAAACCCTCCAACTCTGACAACATCTTTATAAATCTTTTCTGAACTCTTTCAAGTTTAACAACATCTTCCCTGTGGCTGGGAGACCAGAATTGAATGCAGTATTCCAAAAGTGGCTTAACCAATGCCCTGTACAGCCTCAACATGACCTCTCAACTTTTACACTGACCAATAAAGGCAAGCGTGCTGAATGCCTTCTTCACCACCCTGTCTACCTATGCCTCCACCTTCAAGAAAAACAATGAACCTGCACCCCAAGGTCTCTTTGTTCGGCAACACTGACCAGGACCATACCATTAAGTGTATAAGTCCTGCCCTGATTTGCCTTACCAAAATGCAACACCTCACATTTATCTAAATTAAACTCCATCTGCCACTCCTTAGTCCATCCGCCCATCTGATCAAGGTCCCGTCGTATTCTGAGATAACCTTGTTCACTGTCCACTACACCACCAACTTTGGTGTCATCTACAAACTTGCTAGCCATTCCTCCTATATTCACATCTAAATCGTTTCTATAAATGATGAACAACAGTGGACCCAGCACAGATTCTTGTGGTACACCACTCCAGTCCGAGAAACAACACTCCACCACCACCCTCTGTCTCCTCCCTTCAAGCCCACTCAATGAATGGCAGGACACTAGGAAGCTCAGAGGAACAGAGGGATCTTGGGAAGCTTGTCCACTGATCCCTGAAGGTGGTAGGACATGTTAATAGGGTGGTTAAGAGGGCATACAGATGCTTGCCTTTATCAGTAATGGCATGGATTATAGGAGCAGGAAGGATGTGTTGGAGCTGTATGGACTTTGGTGAGGCTACAGCTGGAGTACTGTGTGCAGTTCTGCTCCCCACACTATAGGACGGATGTGATTGCACTGGAGGGGGTGCAGAGGAGATTCATCAGGATGTTGCCTGGTACGGAGCATTTCAGCGATGAAGAGAGGCTGGGTAAGCTTGGGCTGTTTTCTTTGGAGCAGAGAAGGTTAGGATGGGGGACCTGATAAAAGTATGTAAGATTACGAGGAGCATGGACAGAATGGACAGGAAGCTGCTGTTCAACCTTAGCTAAAGGGTCAATAACAATGGGGGAGGGGGGCAGGTGAAAGGCAGGAGGCTTTAAAAAAACCCAGAGGGTGTTGGCAGCCTGAAATGCACAGCCTGCATTTTTGGCAGTACAGCCTCGATGGGCCAAATGGCCTGTTCTGTACTGTATGAGTCTATGTGAGTGGCTTGGAGGGGAACTTGCAGGAACTTCCATAAGTGCACAGCCCTTTGTCCTTTGCAGCAGTAAGAGATTTTTAGCTCTCCTGGGAGCCTTGGCCAATTACATTCTTAGCTTCTGCAGCACCTGAATGGGAACCGCCTTCTTTCTTGCAGGAAGATGTCACCCGAGGGGGTAAAGTTTGTGCCGTTTGGAAACCTTCTGCAGAGGGAGGCTCCTGGTCTTCAGCAGGTTGCTACCTCACGGCTACGAATGCTACTCACACGGAATGCAGTTGCAGAGTGCTGTCCAGCTTTGCAGTGCTACTGACTCTCTATGAGATCACGGTAGGAGCCAAACTCTCATCGGTACTTCACCACATACAGGTCACTGAGCCGGGCCTGTGTACAGTTCCTACGAATAGCCCAGGAGAGTGGCAGCAAGAAGATCGACTTATTGAGGAATCATTGTGACCATAGATACTGACTTGGGATTCCCTTATTGCGTAGTTTGATGCCACACTATTAGACAAACTGTTTGAGGAGAACGCAAAGTCAGGAATTGCCTTCGAGCTGAGACTTGAACACAGAAATGTCGAAAACAGGAGCAGGAATAGGCCATTCAGCCCTTCAAGTCTGCTCCACTATTCAATATGATCATGGCTGATCATCCAAATCAGTCCCCTGTTCCCACTTTGGCTCCCATGCCCCTTTGATCCCATTAGCCCTAAGAACTATATCTAACTCCTTCTTGAAAACATTCAATGTTTTGGCCTCAGCCACTTTCTGTTGCAATGAATTCCACAGGCTCACCACTCTCTTGGTGAAGAAATTTATCCTCATCTCAGTCCTAATAACCCTACCCTGTATCCTTCGACTGTGACCCTTGGTTCTGGTCACTGGGAACATCATAGATACAGCAGCATCTGACTTACAATTACTTTGACTGAGGATGAATGTATCTTCTTTTGTTCATGTATATGTAATCTCTAATGTTCTAGTGTAGTTTGCTATTCTCCTGCAATGTTCTAGTTCCACCCACAATGTGCTATTTATGCGCAATGATGTGCAGCTCAGTGACATCATCGCAAGGTTGCTCTGGGGTCCTGCAGCCCTGAACGGTGGTGACGGCCAGGATCTCCTGATATTATTGGATGTTTCACCTGCTTATTGAAAAAACAGCAAGACTACCAAGGTCAAAAACAGAAGTTGCTGGAAAAGCTCAGCCAGTCTGGCAGCCTCTGTGAAGGAAAAAACAGAGTTACCGTTTCGGGTCTCCCTTCCTCAGGTTCACCAGACCTGAAATGTTAACTCTGTTTTTTACCTTCACAGATGCTGCCAGATCTGCTGAGCTTTTCCGGCAACTTTGTTTTAGTTCCTGATTTACAGAATCGGCAGTTCTTTCGGTTTTTATTTAAAACTATCAAGGTGACCCATTTGAGCCATATTTTTGTGTCTTCCTGTGATTGGGGAACTTGGCAGTGGTGTGCGTTTGTGTGAAGTTAAGACCTGGGTAGAAATCCCACCCACTTCCTGTTGGATAGCTGGTGCAATCTTCATTCAATAAGTAACTCAGGCACATAGCTAGACTGAAGGGGGCACTTGTGGGTATAGTGGTAGTATCCCCACCTCTGACCCAGGAGGCCTGAGTTCATGTCTCACATGCTGTAGAGGTGGGAGATAACTCCTCAGAGCAGGTTGATTAGAATGCACCTATAGCTCGTCTCAGAGATAATGGCCAAACCCATGTGGTTCACTAATGTCCTTTAGGGAAGGAAGCTGCCATCCTCACCTGGTCTGGCCTACATGCGACTCCAGACCCACAGCAATGAGGTTGGATATTAACCACCCTGTGGAAAGGCAGCACAAGCCATTCATTTCAAAGGGAACTGTGGCATCAAATGCTGGTGTTGCTCAATTTCCATCAAAAAAATTCAAGAAATAAAAGAGGGGAAAAGAGAGGCAGATTTACAGTGCCCCTGGTGTGAAAAAGGGGTTCAGACTGCGAATCACCTATCTCTAACTTTAGTGTCATGGACTCCTTGTTCCAGGCACCACCCAATTCTTTCCATATTCATCCAGTTAAATCCTTTAATCATTTTAAGCGCTCTATTTGGACCATCCTCTCAAGGAAAGGGTGCGGTGCATTTTGGAAGATCTAATGCAGGAGGGATGTATACAGTAAATAGCAGGACCCTCAGCAGCATCAACATACAGAGGGATGTAGGCGTACAGGCCCACAATTCCCTGAAAAGGGCAACACAAGTGGATAAGGTGGTCGGGAAGGCATATGACATGCTTGCCTTCATTGGTCGGACCATGGAGTATATAAATTGGCAAGTCATGTTGCAGCTATATGGAACTTTAGTCAGGCCACATTTGGAATATTGAGGACAGTTCTGGTCGCCACACTACCAGTAGGATGAGGAGGCTTTGGAGAGAGTACAGAAACGGTTTACCAGGATGTTGCCAGGTTTGGATGGGATTAGCTAGGAGGAGAGATTGGACAGACTTGGTCTGTTTTCACTCGAAGGATGAGGGGTGACCTGATAGAAGTTTGCAGAATTATGAGAGGGGGGGATAGACTGGGATAGAGAACTTTTCCCAGGGTAGAAATGTCAATGACGAGGGGACGTAGGTTGATGGTGAAAGGGGAATGTTTAAAGGAGATGTGAAAGGCAAGTTTTTTACACAGAGGGTGGTAAGTGCCAGGAATGTGCTGCCAGAGGAGGTGGTGGAGGCGGATACAATAGCAACGTTTAAGAGGCACCTTGACAGATTAAGGACTAGGCAGGGAATAGAGGGATACGGACCATGTAGAGGCAAAAGGTTTTTAGTTTGGAAGGACATCATGTCGGCACAGTCTTGGTGGGCTGAAGGGCCTGTTCCTGGGCTGTACAGTTCTTCTTCTTTGAAATAAAATGTCACGGGGTTACAAATTCAGAAAATGTCCCACAACCACATTTGATTTGAGCTGGGATAGGTGATGGCCTAGTAGTATTATAACTGGGCTGTTAATCCAGAGTCCCAGATAATGTTGTGGCGACCCAGGTTTGAATCCTGCCATGGCAGATGGTGGAATTTGAATTCAATAAACAAAACAAACCTGGAACTAAGAGTCTAATGATAAACCATGAATCAATTGTCAGGGGGAAAAACCCACCTTATGCCCTTTAGGGAAGGAGAATGCCATCCTTACTTGGTCCGGCCTACATGGGACTCCATACCCACAGCAATATGGTTGACTCTTAACTGCCCTCTGGGCAATTAGGGATGGGCAATAAATGCTGGTCTAACCAGCAACGCCCTCATCCTGTGAATGAATAAAAAAAATGGAATGGCGCAACTCACTGTCTCATATTTAATTTAACTTCAATTACGTCCATTGTTTCCCAGGACCCGCTCCACAACTCCATTCTCAGCTGGATCACCTTTTTGGGATTGTCCGTATCCTTGCTGTGCCTCCTGGTGTCAATTATGACATTCTTCTGCTGCCAGGCCATTCAGAACATGAACACCACCATTAAGGCACACTTGTGCCTGAGTCTGTTCCTGGCAGAACTGCTGTTCCTGATAGCAAGCTCCATCGATACACGCACGGTAAGACTCATTTGACCCCATACACCCTGATAACGCTGTCTTATCCACGGCCATTCTTAACATCCGGAATTACTTCCACACCGTCTGATTCTGGTACATCAACCTTCATTCTCCAAACACGACGAGGGGACAATCTTAACATAAGGTGTCACCCACCCAAGACAGAGATGAGGAGGAATTTTTTCTTTCAGAGGGTAGAGAATCTGTGGAATTCTTTACCACAGGGCACTGCCGAGACTGGGTCACTAAGAACGTTCGAGACTGAGATAGACAGATTGAGGCATTCAAGGGTTAGAGGGAAAAAGCAGGAAAGACCCAATCTCAACAACACTCTACGGCAAAGAATTCCACAGCTTCCCTACCCTCTGAGAGAAAAAGAATCCTTCCTTATCTATTCAGTGGCTGACCTTCCCCCAACCCCCTACACCCCCCCCCCCACGCCTCTCCAATCTGAGATGATGCCGTCTGGTCTTAGACTCTCCCACAAGGGGAAACAACCTTACCATAACTCCACTGTCAAGTCCTCTAAAGAATATTTATGGCCCATTGCTAAATTTCCCTTATCTTTACGAAGATGAACTGCCATCTGGTAACTCTTGCAGTCCATGTGGTGTAGGTACACCCCTAGAGGGAATTCCAGGATTATAAATAGGGTTGAACAGACTGGTGAGGACCAAGTGTCTCTATCATAACACTTGGCCCCTCACTTGAGCAAGCCTGAGAGGAATTTTCCAGGAGTTCCATTGGGAATGTGGTGAGAGAAATGAGAAGCATCCAGTTAAGATGTTTGAGTCAGCACGCATGTGGAACCAGAGTGATGGACAAGCACATGTTTCTACTAAGAATGTTGTAGAATCCCTTCAGTGTGGAAGCAGGCCATTCGGCCCAACAACTCCATACTGACTCTCCGAAGAGCATCCCACCCAGACTCAGTCCCCTATCCTATTCCTGTAACCCTGCATTTCCCATGGCTAATCCATCTAGCTTGCACACCATGGGGCAATTTAGCATGGCCAACCCACCCTAACCTGCACATCTTTGGACTGTGGGAGGAAACCAGAGCACCCGGAGGAAACCCACACAGACACGGGGAGAATGTGCAAACTCCACACAGACAGTCACCCGAAGGTGGAATCGAACCCAGGTCCTTGGCGCTGTGAGGCAGCAGTGCTAACCACTGAGCCACCGTGCCGCCCTATGACTATCTGATATTGTGGCGGGTGGCATTTAAGACACACCATACCCTTTCAGACCCTTACGTAACAACTTCCTCTCCCCCTGCTTTAATTGAGCTGTTGCAGTGCAGATCCCAACCACCTGCTGCGTGAAAAAAAGCTTTTCTGTAACCACCTTTACTTCAGGCACCCAGGGGAGGGTGGCACGTCGGCCATATTTGTCTGTCAACATCAATTCCCTGCCATACCAGTCGATGGTAATGCGAACATCACGAGATGACAAGAGTCAGAGGATCGAGCTCATTGTACCCAGTGCTAGCGAAACCCCATGACTGAACAAACCGAGTTCATGTTGTTTCTCTTCAGGTTTTGTGCGCCATTGTCGCTGGTGGAATGCACTATTTGTTCTTGGCTGCCTTCTTTTGGATGTGTCTGGAAGCTGTCCAGCTCTGCCTCATGGTACTCAACCTCAAAGTGGTGAACTTCTCCCGCACCCGAGTCATTCCCCAGAGATTGATGTACCCCATCGGCTATGGGTGCCCAGCTTTGATTGTGATTGTGACTGCCGCGGTGTATGCCAAAGGCTACGGCACCAACAGATTGTGAGTACAGAGGCTGGCCCTGTGCCTGCTGCGCCCGAGCCTAGCGAATATGCATCGATGTGGAGGGTGCCGGTGTTGGACTGGGGTGTGGGGGATAAAGTCAGAAATCACACCACACCAGGTTGTAGCCCAACGGGTTTATTTGAAGCTTTTGGAGCGCAGCTGAAGCCCTTCGGTCTGAAAGCTTGTGATTTCAAATAAACCTGTTGGACTATGACCTGGTGTTGTGTGGCTCCTGACTATGTGCATTGAAGTTAAGGCACTGTGGAGGGAGGGTTTTATCATTGCACAGATCAAGGATCAGTTTCAAAGCGTAGACTGATTTTGATTTGATTTATTATTGTTACATGTGTCCAGGGAGAGTGAAAAGTTTTGATTAGAACAGAGCGAGGAATACAATGTTACAGCTGCAGAGAAGGTGCACAAGGAGCGAGATCAACATTAGATTTAAAATTTGAGAGGTCCGTTCAGAAATCTGATAACAGCAGGGAAGAAACTGTTCTTGAATCTGTTGGTGCGTGCGTTCAGGCTTTAGTATCTTCTACCCGACAGAAGAGTTTGGAACAGATTATAACTGGGGTGGGAGGGTTCTTTGATGATGAGGGAGCAGGTGAATCTGGAACCTGAGAATCAGTCATGGTGAACATTTTATTCACTGATTGGACCACCGTGAATTCTTCAAGTTGGTCACTGGGCAAATGAAAACAATCACCTGCATTTATATAGCACCTGAGGGTTGTAGTATTTAGTTGTTCCAACTTTGATTATACCTGATCACTTTGTCTATATCCTTCTGTAATCTGAAGCTTTCATCCTCTCTGTTTACCTCCCTACCAATTTTTGCATCATCCACAAGCTTACTGACCAAACCTCCTTCATTCAAGTCTAAACTATTAAAATATATATTTTATAAACTTGGATGTAGGAATTTACAGAGGGAAATGCCTCCTCCTAATGGCAGTGGGGTGTAATTACAGTGAGACAGGCTTACCTTGGTAATAAAATTGAGATTTATTGCACAGAGCATAAGACCATAAGACCATAAGACATAGGAGCAGAAATTAGGCCATTCGGCCCATTGAGTCTGCTCCGCCACTCAATCATGGCTGATAAGTTCCTCAACCTCATTCTCCCGCTTTCTCCCCGTAACCTTTGATCCCCTTGATAATCCAAGAACCTATCTATCTCAGTCTTTAATGTACTCAATGACCTGGCCTCCACAGCCTTCTGTGGCAGTGAATTCCATAGATTCACCATTCTCTGGCTGAAGAAGTTTCTCCATATCTCCGTTATAAAAGGTCTTCCCTTTACTCTAAGGCTGTGCCCTCGGGTCCTAGTCTCTCCTACCAATGGAAGCATCTTCCTAACATCCAGTCTGCCCAGGCCATTCAGTATTCTCTAAGTTTCAATTAGATCCCTCCTCATCCTTCTAAACTCCAATGAGTATAGGCCCAGAGTCCTGAAACGTTCCTCATATGTTAAGCTTTCCATTCCTGGGGCCATTCTTGTGAACCTCCTCTGAACCAGCTGCAGGGCCAGTACATCCTTCCTGAGAAATGGGGCCCAAAACTGCACACAATACTCCAAATGTGGCCTGACCAGAGCTTTATAAAGCCTCAGTAGTACATCCCTGCTTTTATATTCAAGTCCTCTCAAAATAAATGCCAACATTGCATAAGCTCCTTTGGCCCATCGAGTCTGAGCCAGTCAACAACAGCCACCTGACTATTCTAATCTCATTTTCTACTACTTGCCACATAGCCTTGTATGCCTTGGCATCACGAGTAATTGCTTCTTCAAAGCCATGAGGGTTTCTACCTGTTCCACCCTTACAGACGGTGAGTTTCAGATTCCCACCCCTCTCTAGGTGAAAAATGTCCTCACATCCCCTCTCAACCTCCTTCCCCTCACCTTAACTCTATGTGCTTTGGTCGCTGATACCTCCACCAAGGGGAAAAGTTCCTGCCTGTCTACACTATCTATGCCCCTCCTAATTTTAAACATCTCAATCATGTCCCCCCTCAATCTCCTCTGCTCCAAGGAAAACAACCCCAGTCTGTCCATTCTCGCTTCATAACTGAAACTCTCCAGCCCAGGTAACATCCTGTTGAATCTCCCTTTGTGCTGTCTCCACTGCTATCACATCCATTCTATAATGTGGATTCCAAAACTGCACACAATACTCTTCCTGTGGCCTAAGCAAATTTTACACAGTTCGAGTAGAACCTCCTTAGTCCTAAACTCGCTGCCTTAGCTCATAAAGGCAGGCATTCCATATGTCTTCTTAACCACTTTATCCACCTGCCCTGATACCCTAAGGATTGGTGGACCTGCTCACCAAGGTCTCTCTGATCCTCAGTGCTTCCCAGGGTCCTACCATTCATCATGTATTCCCTTGCCTTGTTTGCCCTGTCCATGTGCAACATGTCACATTGGTCTGGATGGAATTCCATTTGCCACTGATTAGTCCATCTGATCAACCTGTCTATATCCTTCTGTAATCAGAGGCTTTCATCCTCTCTGTTCAGCTCCCCACCAATTTTTGTATCATCCACAAACTTATTGATCAACCCTCCTTCATTCAAGTCAAAACCATTTGTATATATTATAAATTTGGATGTAGGAATTTAGACTGGGAAAGATTGACAGATCCAAGGTGATTTTAAATGAAAATGCATAATAGATTATGGGTGGCACAGTGGCTCAGTGATTAGCGCTGCTACCTCACAGTGCCAGGGACCCAGGTTTGATTCCACCCTCGGGTGACTTTCTGTGTGGAGTTTGCACATTCTCCCCGTGTCTGCGTGGGTTTCCTCCCATAGTGCAAAGTTAGGTGGATTGGTGATGGTAAATTGCCCATAATGTCCATAGATGTGCTGGCTTGGTGGATTAGCCAGGGAAATGCAGGGTTGATGGGATGGGTCTGGGTGGGATGTTCTTTGGAGGGTCAGCATGGACTTGATGGGCTGAATAGCCTGCTTCCACCCTGGAGGGATTTTATGATTCTGTTTAAAATTACAATACTGGATTAAAACTGTTCCTTTAATTACAGCTGTTGGTTAAAGCTGGAGGAAGGCTTTTTGTGGAGTTTCCTGGGACCTCTGTGTTTCATCATTTTGGTAAGGGCTCAGCGGATGGGAATTGCAGTGACGAAACTGACAGTCAAATCCATAATAAACTCTTCCCTCATCTTATGTCACTATCATTGTCAGGTATTGGCAGATTTGTTGAAAGCTAACAGGTTAGTAATGGAAATTTGGTGTTCTGGCTCCCTCTCGCAAGGTCTGCTGATCAATAAACTACCGTCATCTCAGAAAGCAGACACATTTATGGAAGGAGTCCATTTGGCCCATTTTGACAGTCTAGGCCAACAAATAGCCCTCTAGCATAATCTCATTTGTTAGCAGAATCTAAGCCAGTGGTAACATTTCAAATTACAACCACACATCTTTCTTTGTGGAGAGTTTATTGACTTGCTCAGTCTTACCACTCTCCTTTTGCATCCAATGGGTGCTTAGCCAATTAATAGCTTTCACTTGTTTCTCCGAATTAGAATCATAGAGGTCTGCAGCATGGAATCAGGCCCTTCGGCCCAACCTGCCCATGTCACCCAGTTTTCACAATTTAAACTAGTCCCATTTGCCTGTGTTTGGTCTATATCTCTCCATACCCAGCCCATCCACGTAACTTGTTTAAATGTTTCTAAAATGACAAAATTGTACTCGTTTCCACGACAATCCCTGACAGCCCGTCCCAGACACTCACCACCCTCTGTCTGACAAAGTTGCCCCTCTGGACTGTTTTTCATTTCTCCCCTCTCACCTTAAATAAAGGTGTTAACAAACCTGAAGAAAAGTGATCAAAAACTAATTACTTGTGCTTGGTCTGTCATCTGGCAGTTAATGACACTTCAAGTACAAATTCAAGTAATTTTTTGAAATGTGACAAGGGTCTCTGTCTCTCCCACTCTTTCAGGCAGTGAATTCCAGATTCCAAACCATCCACTGGATGAGAAGTCTCTCCGACTGAAATGTCTGCTTTTTATCCTAAATCCAGTCTGCCCTGGTTATAGATCTCTCAATCCAAGAGAAATGGAGCCTCCTATCCATTGTGCTGGACAGTCATAAATTAATACACTACAGTTAGATCTCCCTTCAACCTCCTCTGTTCCAAATCAAACAGCCTATCCATTAGTTCATCTTAAATAGAATTCTCCATTAGGCAACGTCTTTGCCAGTCACCTCTCTAGCCTCTCTAATTCTTTGACTTTTAAGACAGTTTATCTTCATGATTCCTGCTGAAATATTATCTTTAGAAAGTGTTTGAGCCATGATATATTTTGTTCCCTCCATCCATAGAATTTCACACGCATTCCTGATTTGATGTGTCTTCCTCAATGTCTCTGGGAGCACGGGGAATGCTGCAAACAGAATGGTTCCCTGTCCTGTGAACTGGGAGCACAGGACAGCACTGGGTGAATGAGGATCTGTGTCCCCCTTGCTTCTCGTCCTTTCAGAAAGACAATCATGCCAACTACCTCTTAGAGACCAGCATTCAGCAAAGCCTTGGTATAATGTGACACCGAGCCTCGCTAAATCTAGTCAAATTTGCTCAAGGGGCTGACCCTCTTAGCTCTAGTTTCCTCATCCCCCCCACCCCACCTCATCCTTTCCCATCTTGGATAATTTTATCACCAATGGACTAAATAACAGTAAGCAAATGACCTTTTCTTCTGAGCTGCCCACTACACTGTCCTGGACATTCCTGGAGAGGTTGTTGTTGTATACTTTATATCTGAGATCTAAGGCAGAGGTCATATTTGTTTGGATGCATGTAAGATCTTCCTTCACAGGGCCTTTGAAACATCTCTGCTATCACAAAATGTTGCTTCCAGCTCAGACCTCCAGATCTTTCTGCAGCTTCGCCTATTATTCTCTCTCAGTCCACACCCAGGTATGACCAGTCAAGCCCAGTGAGCATCAACTGTGAACTGACCCACATAATTGAGCACAGAACAATTGAACACTTCAGCCGGCATCTCGCAGACAATGAGGCCTAGTTGACAGAGCTAAGTCATGGGTTCTGACTCTGGGCCCATGGCTTTGTGTGTGAAGAGAGAGGGATAGAATCAAATGAAATATAACAAAACAGAAATGCCATCTTAAGATGAATGAATCCCCCAAAAATCTTTGATGTATATTTTGGCTTCCTCAAAATATGGGTCTATATAGAAAGTCAATTTCACACTTCACTGGATTGAAGTATGACACTCCCCTCTACGCAGCTCATGGCCTTCAGCATTTCTTTAGAACATTATGTTCTTCTGTAAGATTACTGGCAAGGCCGGTATTTATTACTCACTCCCTATTTGGCCTTGAAACTGATTGACTTGCTCTGCCATTTCAGAGGGCAGTTAAGAGTCAACCGCATTGCTGTGGGTCTGGAGTCACATGTAGGCCAGACCAAGTAAGGATGGCACACTTCCTTCCCCAAGGTGACTTTAGTGAACCAGATGAGTTTTTACAACAATAGTGGATTGTAGCCCTGGTGATATTACTGGGACTGCCTTTATATTTTACATACATTAACTAAATTTCAATTCCAACAGCTCTGGTGATGGGATTTGTACACACGTCCTCTGAGGGTTTGCTTGGAGCTCTGCTTTACTAGTTCCATGTCGTTATAATATCTCCATTTTTCTCCACCCCCCACCTCCCTGTGGATGTTTATTGTTGTAGCACAGTGATTATCCAAAGTTAGCGATAACCTGGACAAGTGATTTGGATCCATAGGCGGGATTTAGCCAAGGGATAAAGAGTAGCATGGTGGCTCAGTGGTTTTCACAGCGCCAGGGACCTGGGTTCGATTCCATCTTTTGGTACCTGCTTGTATGTTCTCCTCATATCTGGGTGGGCTTCCTCCGGTTGCTCCAGTTTCCTCCCACAGTCCAAAGATGTGCAGGTTAGGGTGGATTGGCCATGCTAAATTGCCCCGTAGTGTTCAGGGATGTGTCCAGGGATGGGATGCTCTTCAGATTGTTGGTGCTGACTAGATGGGCTAAATTGCCTGTTTCCACACTGTAGGAATTCTATGATTCCAAAGGGCTTCAATGTCAGAAGCAAACTCACCAAAGATCCTCAGGCAGCACCTTCCAAACCCATGACCACTTCCATCTAGAAGGACAAGGGGAGCAGATACATGGGAACACCACCCCCTGCAAGTTCCCCTCTGAGCCACTCGCCATCCTGACTTGGAAATATATCGATGTTTCTTCACTGCCACTGGGTCAAAATCCTGGAATTCCCTCCCTAAGGGTCAACCCACAGCAGGTGGACTGCAGCGGTTCAAGAAGGCAGTACACCACCACCTTCTCAAGGGGCAACCAGGGACGGGTAATAAATACTGGGCCCAGCCAGTGATGCCCAGATCCCACAAATGAATAAATTAAATAAAAGGGGACCTGAGCCAATGGTTTGCAGGGAGTTAAACTGGGGGATGGTGTGGGGAGCTGCTCTAACCATCCCTATTAAGGCAGAGCTGGCAGCTGAAGAGACCAGGCATCCCCACGGGGAGAGGAGGACACTGCTGACACATGCTGGGAAACCTTGAACATGGAGGCATAAGCCGCATGTTAGGAAGTACCGAGAGGGTGATTCGGGGTGGGTGTGGCTGGGAAGCTCTGTCAGAGCCAGTGTTTGGGGGTCTTGGACGCAGAACGTACTGCTGCTGGGGGCTTCCTCATTGAGAAAAGGAGCCTCTGATTCAGGTGCTGCCCCCCTCCTGTCCCACTGACCCCCTGCTCTTGCCAGCTTGGCTCTGATGGAGCTGTCACTCTCCCTGCACCAAAGGATGTTGCCCTGAGCTGGCAAGGTGCCAACATATTGGAAACAAACTCATTACGAATTAAGGTTTTAATTATTGGAGTTGGCCTTTTAAGGGCAGCCATTCTACATGCAGTTGGCAGAAATACAGAACCCTCACAGCGTGGAAGCAGGCCATTCAGACCACACCAACTCGCTGAAGGGCAGCCCACCCAAACCCAACCTCCTGCCCTATAATCCTACATTTCCCATGGCTAACCCAGCTAGCCTGCACACTATGGGGCAATTAAGCATGGCCAACCCACTTAAGCTGCACATCTCTGGATTGTGGGAGGAAACCCATACAGACATAGGGAGAATGTACAAATTCCACATAGCCACTTCCCAGGGGGTGGAATCAAACCCAGCTCCTTGTGCTGTGAGGCAGTAGTGCTGACCACTGAGCTATCCTACTGTAGTTATCCCAGCACAAATTCTGACTGCTCTTCCAGCCCTATATCCCCCTGAATAGCATAAAAGGCGCAGCAATCTCTTCCCTTGCTTCCCGTAGTAACCTTGGCTGGACCAGCATTTATTGCCCATCCCTAGTTGCCCCTTGAGAAGGCAGTGATGACCTTCCAAAATGAATCACTTCACACTTTTCCGGGTTGAATTCCATCTGCCACTTCTTTGCCGAGCTCTGCTTCCTGTCAATGTCCCGTTGCAACCTACAACAGCCCACCTCGCTGTCCACAACGCCACCAACGTTCGTGTCTTCGGTAAATTTACTAACCTCACCCTTCCACTTCCTCATCCAAGTCATTTATAAAAATCACAAAGAGTAGGGGTCCCAGAAAAGATCTCTGCGGCATACCACTGGTCACCGAGCTCCAGGATGAATACTTTCCATCTACTACCACCCTCTGTCTTCTATTGGACAGCCAGTTTTGTATCCAGGAAGCCAAATTTCCCTGAATCCCACGCCTCCTTACTTTCTGAATGGGCCTACCATGGGGAACCTTATCGATGCCTTGCTAAAATCCATATACACCACATCCACTGCTCTACCTTCATCGATGTGTTTTGTCACATCCTCAAAGAATTCAATAAGACCTGTGAGGCATGACCTGCTCCTCACAAAGCCATGCTGACTTTTTCAAATCAAACTGTGCTTTTACAAATAATCATAAATACTATCTCTCAGAATCCTCTCCAATAATTTGCCCACCACAGAAGTAAGACTGACCGGTCTGTAATTCCCAGGATTATCCCTATTCCCTTTCTTGAACAAGGGAATAACATTTGCCACCCTCCAATCATCTGGTACTACCCCAGTGGACAGTGAGGACACAAAGATCATCACCAAAGGGGCAGCAATCCCTTCCCTCGCTTCCTTTAGTAACCTTGGGCATATCCCTTCTGGCCCAGGGGACTTATCTATCCTCATGTTTTTCAAAATTTCTCGCACGTCCTCCTTCCTAACACCTGTTCGAGCATATCAGCCTGTTTCACACTGTCCCCACAAATGTCAAGGTCCCTCTCACTGGTGAATACTGAAGCAAATTATTCATTAAGGACCTCCCTTACCTCCTCTGACTCTGCGCACACGTTCCCTCCACTGTCCCTGATAGGCCATACCCTCACTCTGGCCATCCTCTTGTTCCTCACATAAGTATAGAACGCCTTGGGGTTTTTCTTAATCCTACCTACCAAGGCTTTTTCATACCCCCTAAGCCTATTCTTCAGTTCCTTCCTGGCTACCTTGTAGCCCTCTAGAGCCCTGTCCAATCCTTGCTTCCTGAACCTTAAGTAAACTTCCTTCCTCCTCTTGACTTAGGGAATTTAAATTGAGTTGAATAAATCTGGGATAAAAAAGAGTTTATGTATAGGACTGACATGAGGATGCCGGACTATTGTTAAAAATGAAAGCAATTATATCACTGATATCCTTAAGAGAAGGATGTCTGCAGTTCTTACTTAGTCTGGCCTACACGTGGATAAAAACAAAATTCTGCAAATTCTGGAGATCTGAAATCAAACTGAAAACATTAGAGAAACTCAGCAGGTCTGGCAGCATTTGTGTAGAGAGAAGCAGAGTTAACGTTTTGAGTCCAGTGACCCTTCTTCAGAAGTGAAGCACAGCAGTAATCCTGAAGGAGAAGAGTCATACTGGACTCGAGACACATTAACTCCATTTGCTCCCTCTCTCCACAGATGCTGCTAGACCTGCTGAGTTTCTGCAGTGATCTCGGTTTTTGTTATGCTGTTTGATTCTTCATTAACCTCCGAAATGGCCACATCCTGTGAATGAATAAAAAAAAAGTTGAGGACTCAGAACTGAGTCCCATACCAATCAATTCTTCTCTTCCCTCGCAGCCTGTTAATAATGTGAATTTTATCAGCATACCTCGAACAAGGAATCATCAAGGTGAACTGAACAATCCTGTTTTGCAGGTAAATTTCATTCTGTTGTCAATATCACTCTGGATCCTGAAAGAGAAGATTTCCAGTCTAAATGCGGATGTTTCAACTATTAAGGAATCCAGGTAGGTTTTTTCTCTATTCATTTGTGGGATGTGGGCATTGCTGGCTGGTCCAGCATTTATTGCCCATCCCTAGTCACCCCTTGAGAAGGTGGTAGTGAGCTGCCTTCTTGAACCGCTGCAGTCCTCCTGCTGTGGGTTGACCCACAATACCATGTGTTAAAGCACCGCTGGTAAATGGGCATAGCATCATTTGTCCATCCTAGGACTGTGAGTTCTTTGGGACCATGCTCATTCTCAACACAGATACACAATTATCCAACATGGACTGTCCATTACATAGCCCATGACATGGTGGCACAGTGGTTAGCACTGCTGCCTCACAGCGCCAAGGACCCGAGTTTGATTCCACCCTCACACAGCCGTCTGCATGGAGTTTGCACATTCTCCCCGTACCTGCGCAGGTTTCCCCCGAGTGCTCTGGTTTCCTCCCACAGTTCAAAGATGTGCAGGTTAACTGGATTGGCTACGGGAAATGCAGGGGTTACAGGGATAGGGTAGGGGGTAAGGTCTGTGTAAGATGCTATTTACAAGGTCGAGATGGGCTGAATGGCCTGCTTCCATGATGGAGGGATTGCATGAAGTCCTAGGGAGATAGGGTAGAAGTTAATCCCTGTTCCCCTTGAAGCGGCAGAAGGTATTTAATCAGGTGGGAGGGGGTCCAGTGGAGATAATTGGATATTGATCTACAATAAGACTTAAACAAACAAAAACAGAAAGTAGTGGACGAGCTCTGCAGGTGAGAGAAACAGAACTGATGTCTCACATCTGATTTGACGTTTCTTCAGAAGCATACTGGTTATGTTTCCGATCCTGACACAATTCTCTAGATACACAAGGTGACATTTCACCACAGAAGCTGAAAAACTCAAATTCAGCTCATTGTACATTTTGATTTCTGTGACCCTTCTTCAGATTTCTCCAGCAGTTTCTGTTTTGGATTCAGAACTCCAGCGTCCACAGCCCCTTGTTTTATTTTTCTATGAGTAGGATCGTCTTATTGGGATGTCTGTCATGGTCAAATGGGCTGCCCATTGCTCAGGGAATAGGGTCATTTCTGAATGACCTTGGAGAGTGCTTGTTATTTCTAAACCTGTGCTCCTCTACAAATCGGCATTTTCAGGATGGAATAGGAAAATTTCTATCAACATCTGGAAGGATTAATAAGAAGCTCTAACCCAAAGTCTACTCCTGTCTCTTCACAGGGTACTCACGTTCAAAGCAATGGCCCAGTTTATTCTGCTGGGCTGTTTCTGGGTTTTGGGCTTGTTTCAATTTAAGGAGGGGACCATTGTTTTGTCCTACCTGTTCACCATATTGAATGTTCTCCAGGGTGTATTCATTTTCTGCGTTTACTGCTTGCTCAACAAACAGGTAGATAACTTTGAATTTTCTTACATGTCTTGCTCTAAGTAGAAAGTTGCAGATACATTTACAGTCATTCCTGGTTTGATGTGTGGCAATGCAAATAGTATTTTTTGGTGGAAGTGTATGTCTCTGTGTCTGTATATGTTTGCAACTGTGAATTAATGTGAATGTATACATGTGTGTGTGTGCCTTGGTATGTAAGCATTCATAAATGTGTATGTGTGTTTGTGTGTGTGTGCGTGTGAGTGTGTGTGTGTTTACAGGTGTGCATATGTTTGTGTGCGTGCACTGTTACATGTGTATGTTCAATATGTGGTGCATGTTGATATGTTTGCGTGTGTGTGTGTTTGTGTGTGTGTGCATGTATATATGTGTTTGTGTGAGCGAGCGTGGGTGTGTGTCTATGTTTGTGTGTGTGCATGTTTGTGTGTGTGTGCTTGCGTGATTGAGAGTGAGTGTGTGTTTGTGTGTGTGTGTGTTTGCATGTATGTGTTTGTGTGAGTGAGAGTGAGTGTGTGTGTGTG